GAGATCCAGTTCTCCTCCGGACAAAAACGTATGTGTGAATCCCCTCCTGGATTCTTTTAAAGTATTTTCCTTCCTGAAGTAGATATAGGATGATGCTTACACAGAGGGAGTTCTGAAAAGCATGGATACCTATTTCCACCAAATGGCTCCAGTTCTTAAGCCACCAAAAAAGGCATATCTTTTTCCATAGTAAAGGAATGTGATTAATTATGCTATGCTAGATGACTATTTTTAAACCACATGAACTTTCAGCAATAAATCTGTGTTTACCTCATTCTGTCCCCTTTTGAAATTGGGAAACAACACAAATAGGTTACAACAGAATACTAATTTCTGTCCTGTGCCCAAACATTAGGTTCCAAATTTCTCTCAAGGAAAAATCTAGACACTGTCAATTCTGTGGAATTATACTATACACTCTCATGACAGTGATAAACACTATCTTTTATTATATGGTCACCATCTGTTGTTTAGTAGTTCCATTTATATGAAGCCTTCCTTCCAATGAGCTCAAGTGGACATACATGGCTTTCTTCCTCCCAACTTTATCTTCCCTATGAGTAATAGGGACGGTCAGGCTAAGAAACAGTGATTTGCCCCAAATAATAAGATTCATGACTCACTGGAGACGTGGAACTAGTTCTCCCAAGTCTCCCAAGTCTTCCCAAGTCTAGTACTCTAGCCACTATACCAAACTGGATAACAATATTATCATTGCTAGCATTATAATTGTCTGCTGTTAAGCCTGGAAACCTCAACATGTGGGAGGTCAGATTCTTTTTCAAGTGCACATAAATATAGTTTTAAAAGCTTTAAATCAAGCAAAATAAAAACATGAAGCTGTCGCTATGCAAGTCCATATATGGATAGGCAAGAATGTTGTGGGATAGAACTGGTTTCGGAGGAATATATGCCCTCTTTTTCGTGCTCTGACCCAAGCAATAGGGTAGAGTGTTTTCCTCCGAGAAGCATGCCAGCTTCTTTCTGTGTTGCTTTTGCAAGCTGAGAACATGAACTACACTTCAGGACAGTGTGGTAAATATAAATCCAGCACTTACCCACAGCCATTCCCTCACAGTCTGACATCATGCGAAAAGAAGTTTCCTTTAATGCAGCTTAGGCAAAACCACAGAGGAAGGGTAAAAAAATAATACAGGATTTGTTTCTCCGTCAGGGCAAGCAGCAGAAATGTGAACGAAACATGAACACTTCTGTCTGTCTGTCTGTCTGTCTCCTTTTTCTCCTTCTCCTCAGCTGTACATCTGCTCACCAGAGGAGTTACAGCAACAAATTCTCTCTCTGCCTTCTCATTATGGGATGTTAAGATAAGAATGTGCTTTTGTGCCAAAAGAGCATGCGATTGGTGGATAAATTTGTTGACATCCCTCCCCTTCAAACAGCTTCCTCTTTAATGTCACAGTGGCACACTTACACTCTTGAAAAGGGCATGGAATATTTATGAAAACGCTTTTAAGAACTATGCTGAGAATCCGGAATCAAATGCCCTCTAAAATAATTATGATGTGGAGAAGCTAGTAAGTGGGGCTGGTTTCCAGGGCATTCCTGCTTACATAACAAGAACATGTGGCCGGGATGAAGTACTCTACTTGGGAGAAAGTAAAGTTGTTTTTGGCTTGATAAGCATAGACCATAGCTGTGGCGAAACATAGCTGCATTTAAGTATCTTTCTGTACCAAAGTTGCAGAAGCTATGTTTTTATGGTCATTCTATCCATTCATGGACATCAAGGAATATTATATGTTGTTACGCTCACCCTTTCTACAAATTTCGAGGGCACAGCATTCTAGTGGGTTTGTGGTTTCCACTGGATGGAGGTCACTGGACCCATTTTATCATTCTTGAGTTCATATATAGATACACAGCTCAAGTGTAGGTGGAGACACAGCTTAAATACCCCATCAGAAAGACAAAGACCACAGCTGTTCCCACTTTTATCGCTCTCTATGAGATTGGGAGAATTATATTTGGAGTACAACTCCCAGAAGCTCCAATCAACATAGCCAGTGGGGGATTCTGGGAGTGTTATCCAAAATAACTTTCCAAGCTCTGGATGTCTGGGAAGACAGTCAGCACCTTAGGATATATGTATGGCCCAAACACAGTCTTGGGGTCATTGCTATTCTCTGTCTGATTCAATTGCAGAAAGGCAGGATAGAAATGAATAAATGACTGAATGACTGACTGAATATAATAATCTCTGGAATCCTATATCACCTTTTACTTAATGTGTACTTAGATAAGTAGCAGAAGTGCTAAGAAACTCTTGTTCGTGAATTGCCAAGCTGCATATTGCAACAAAAGACAGAGTGCCTGATGTGCATTGTTGTCTGATGCACCTCGATCCCATTGTGTATTGGTCTCATTGTACATCAGTCCCACTGTGCAATAGTCACTTTGCTGGTTCCACT